CCTCTCTCTTACTTGTCATGAGTGTTTTATCACTGCTGACTTTGACAGGGTCCTTCTCAATTTGTAAAGTCAGTGGTACAAATAAGTAAAGAAACAACAGTTACAAGAAGTCCTTTCAGGCCTATGACCAAAAAAAAAAAAAATCAGATTTTTTCAGTTTACTTAATGTGTGTATATAGATTCCTCACTATATTCGTTCATATTGGGACCTCTCAACATTCGAGTAGAAACAAAGGGAAGTAGGTGGAATCCATATGCCCCCCTGTACAGGCTTTGGATTTCATTGGCTGTTCCCCAGTGCATGTGCAGCCCACACAGAGCAAGCAGGAGCCAGAGAACTTCAGGTAGCTGCAGTCAAACGGCAGCGTGCGGGGAAGCCTCCTCTGCCCATCTCTCTGGGGGGTGGCTGGCCGGGAAGCAGCTGATGGGGAGGCCCAGGGCAGTGTGAGAAGAGGTAGAGGCTTTCCGTCAGTAACAGGCAGTTTGGGCACTGTGCAGAACAGAGTGCAAAGCTCCCAGGGGACATGTGCATTTACTGCTGACATTGTAAGGGCTTTAAAATCACAGATGATAAAAAGTGTGACCTTTGAGCAATTAATTGCACATGGAAGGTATGAGCCCTCTATTTTAATGGCCCTGTTACAAGGAAGTGACTAGTGTGGCTTGTGAAACAACACTCATTTATGCAGCCAATCCTCAAAGACATGTTATTTTGAACACCTCAAATTGGTAGGCGTGTGCTAGAGTAAAAATAAGATGGACCCATCTGCTTGGGGGCTCAGCTAGCACTGTAGGGGCACAGGAGATGGGGGTGAACCAGGACGGTAGCTGGTGAGGTGAGGGCCAGCACCTGAGAGGTCACCTAGGAGGGACTCTACCCGAGCTCTGCACCTGCAGGGCTGAGGGTGGGACCTCCCTGGTGGTAGCGTCCGCAGCTACCGGGCAGGTGAAGCAGGAAGGGGTGGAGCTGACCTTGCTTGTCTGAAGGGCTCAGAGCCAGGACCTCCGGGCATGGCCTGTGAGACCAGGGAGCAGCACGCTGAACAGGAGCAGGAGACTTCCCCCACCCACCCTGTACAGAGGGCTTTATAGAAACAAATCTCAGTGTTCCGCATAGCTTTTCCCTCTGTCCACTTTTGAACAGAGTAGAGCTCCTTCTAGGAGCCAGCTCAGACTCCCCAACTTTGACAAGTATTTAGGCTGAACCCTCAGCCCATAGCAGGGCTAGACCCTCTGGCCACCCAGAAATCGAACGTTTTGTTCACCACCCAAAGGAAGCACTAATTGTGGTGCCTTTTCTGTCCACTCATTTCAGCACTGTCCAATAGAACTTTCTGCAGTGAATGAAGTGTTCTAGGTCTCCATGATCCGGTAGGGTAACCACTAGCCACATGTGAGTGGTAAGCCCTTGAAATGTGACTAGTGCCACTGAAGAACTGAAATGTTCACTCTTTGATTTAATAGTCCTCCTGAATGACAGATTTGTTTTATAGGCACTATGAGTCATTAAGAAGATCACATTTCCTTCTGTGTTGGCTGCTAGGAAGGATGCCAGTTTTGGGTCCCATGCCCTCAAGGGCATATAATCTCATGGTGTGCATAGCTTACAGCCCTGCTCCTATGAAGCTTACTTTTCCAGGGGGAATCACACAAAACAGAGCACAGGACACAGAAGAAGGCCAGTGAAAGATAAAGACTAGAAAAAAAAAAAAAAGACCAGTGAAAGCATGCCTCCTCCAGCCACAGCTGAGCAATGTTTCAATCCTGGGTGATGCTGGAATCCTGTAAACCTGACCAGTTTTCTCACTGTTTATTTCTGGTGTGTAGAATGAAAAGGCAAGCAGGGGGCGGGAGTCACTCCTCCTTCCAGGCAGACCCCTACCCAGGCCTGTTCTGCATCAGGGACAATTTTCAGCTTTACAAAATCAAGGCTGTGACCATGATGGGTCCTCTATGTGTGATGTATTGATCACACCAAGAATTATCTTCCTGACAGCCCATGTGGATCATGGGATAAAGAGTCCTGGGGAGTGAGGAAGGAAGGAGAGCCATGCACCTAGATCTGAGATCAGCCCCGGCCCTGCCCATCCTGCTGCTGGGGGCGTGGCACTTGCTTTGAGATTTGAGAACTCAGGATTCACTGATGAACTCCACAGTGTCATCAACCTCCCAGCTGAGGGTGACACTGACAAAGCCTCAGGCAGGGGCCTCAGGACCCGCTTGTTGCCCACCCATTGTGCAAGGCCCAGAGTGACTCCAAGGTGTGAGCCTTCCTTGGCGCCCCTCATTAAAATGTCTACAGAGGAGCTGTCCGAACATTTGAGGGTGCTCAGTTTTCTTTGTAAAACTATCTGCTACCAGGCACAAGGACGGCTCCTAGGAAAATACCCAGAAGGAGTAATCGCAGCATTACCATCTCACTGAGATGCCCACAGCCCAGCAGGGCTTCCCATCTAAAGCTAAAGCAAGCCGTGGCCCAGTGACTCAAGTTTTCTCAGCCATGGCTGTGACCACCCAAAGGAAACTTGCTCCTGCTCCCAGGCCCCCACAGTGCTGATGAAAGAAGAGTCAGACTCCACGTGAGGTTCAGTGGATGGTCTGGTGCCCATGCTGGTTCTGCATCCCCACTTCTCCACCAGCCCAGGGTGCAGGGCACTGGAGGTTTGGAGTTGCAGCCTTGCATCCGAGGGCAAGTCCCTGCTCACTTTATGACAGTTCACCATCCAACATGCAGCACTACAGAGCCCTTGTCTGCCTGGGCTCTGTGGAGATTGTTAGTTGCTCAGAAAGCTACCTGCAATTTTGTTCCAGGCTGCACAGCAAACAGACTCAACATGAGTGGGCACCTCGGCAGATGAAAGTCCCCACGCCCTTTCCTTTGGAAAGACAGCGGTTAGTCAGCACCTCCAGGGTAGGTACTTCTGGGCCTTTGACGTTTATAAAGGATTCATCCAGAGAACTCTGCTAATGCTTGCAACATCCCTATTTGACAGTTTCCTTCCTCACTGCAATAAAGTATAACTTACACATTGACACAGCTGTCTTCAGTCCCTCAGTGCCAGAGATGAGCAGAAGGCAACCGAGTCAGGTTGAGAGCAGGGGCTGGGCAGCAGGCTAGCCACCTTCCCCAGTGGAAAGTGACTGTGGCCACTCTCAAGTAGCAAGCCACAAGTCCAGTGAGTCTTGTGCTTCTCATTAGGCCCTTGTCTGTGGCCTTACTCCACGTTTGCACTAAAATGTGCTTGGTTGCAAGGTTTCCTTCAAAACATTGGGTCCCTACACATCCCCTCTGCCTCCACCTCTCCAGACGGCCTCCCCCTGCCCCAGCAGGTGTCTCCTGAGCATCTTCTGCTCCCACCAGGGTGTTCCTGCCTGGTCATGCTCCTCCCAGGAGCTCGGCTCTCTGGTTGCTCCTTCTTATCTTTCTCAGGGACCTGTGAGTCTGCCCATGCCTTGCACATCCATGTTGTCCACCTTGTTGTGGGCCTCAGCTCTGCTCATCTTCTGCACAAGCTCTGAGGGCTCTCATTTTCTCTCAAAGTTGAGCCACTCTGCCGTCTCCCAAATCTCAATTTCTAGCCCAGCTGCTTTCCAGCTAACTAGGGCCATAGTTTTAGTTACATAATATATCAATCTGTCCTTATTGAAGAAACTGCAAACTACCTGCCAAAGAGTGAATTCCTCATCTTTCCTCTAAACATCATTTAGGGGAGCCTGGGTGGCTCAGTCATTGAGCATCTGACTCTTGGTTTCGGCTCAGGTCATGATCTCGTGGTGGTGAGATTGAGCGCTGTGCTGGGGTCTGCACTTGGTGTAGAGTCTGCTTCAGATTATTTCTCCCTCTTGCTCATGTGCTCTCTCTCTCTCAAATAAATAAATAAAATCTTTGAATATCGTTTACCTCACATAACTCCCATCACAGCTAATAGTATCAGTCCACCCAACCAGGCAACTCTGGACATATACTATGCTTCTCTCCCTCCCTCTCCTCTATATTACTTCAGTGAACCAACTAGTTCAATCTCTGCTCCCTCCAAGACGCCCCTCAAGTCAGTCTCTTCCTTCCTTGGACACCACCTCTGCCTGAGTTTGAACCCCTTGACTCATCAACAGCTTTAGAGCTAGTCTTACTCTTTCCAGTCTTACCTCCTCAAATGTGTCTCCATGCAATGGCAAGATTTACTCTTCAAAACCAGAAATCCAATTACAGTATTCTCCATATAGGGTATGACCATCTGCCTCTCTCTTCTGTCCCCAGCCCCACTTCTCATCACAACCCTGAGGTCATTCTCTGCTCTGATATGTCTACACTGCTTGCTGAAGCCTCCATTCCCTCTCATGCCTTTCAATTCTTAATTCCCATTTTGGCTCCTGGGCATATCTTCTCTCCCCTTCTCTGCCGAGACTGGGTATAATCATCCCCTCTTTTTGTAAGATCCACTGGCTTCACTCCCCACACACCACCCCCTACCTTGGGTGGAGTGAGACATTTTCCTTGTGACTTAATAGAATTCTCAGGCTTATATATGCATCCTAGGCTTACACACACAGGGTTTTAAGACACTGTAGCATAGTTTTTGGTCTACTCATGTGCTGCTCCTATTACCACTCCACCACTCCTTGGGGGAAAGAGCTTGCTCATTTCATCTTTGTGTCTTCCTGGCACAGAGAATGTGTTTGGTTTATAACTGCTAAATTAATGAAGGCATCCCCTTACACAACACCTTAGCATAGTCATATGTGGCATAATATTTGATGAAAATATTTCTTCATTGATTGCTGATTGTAATTCATGACTTCTAAGACACCATCTTAAATGTCATGCTCACAAACTAAGGGACAATTGAGGGATCGTATTAAGGATAATCTGTGTATGTACGTACTCTTGTGTCATGGGGCTACAGCACTCTCTACTGTTGGAATGAACCCTGCCTGATGTGACCTAAGTCAGAGCTGGCATTCAATCCTCAGGGCCACAAATCCCCTTAACGGCCACTTACGTGCTCCACCTGTCCTGCCTCTGTGTTTCTGCCTCATAGACTTCAGCATCCACTTACTGATAAATGACAGGAAAAGGAACAATAATGGGCAAATTTTGGTTCTTCACTTGTGCCAAACACTTAATGCAGATACACTGCTGCCTCAGCTCAAGAACTTCAAGGCTAAGAGTTTTTAGACAGAGAGGGCATGTGCAATAGCTGGAATTCTTAGCAGAGGTGGGTTATTCTGATGCTCTAAACCAAAATACAGGCATTTGGGCTCTAAGCCAGGAGGCCAGGGATCACCCCAGGAGCTCCCTTCCCCAGCAGCCATCACAACACATCATAAATGAGCAATGTTAAATAAGAACCCACATTCGCAGTTTCCGGGACTCATTTCCCTCTTAACAGCAGGAGCTCCTACAGTGAGAGTAGGAATCATTTTCAAATCAGGTGTGGTGGTGCCACAGTGGGAAAAAGCTTGCATCCTAGATGTCCCATGCTACTTTCTGGAGACTTCTAATAGCCGTATCTGAGGAATCTCACACACAGAATGGCATACAATGGACTGATAGTTATTTTCTTACACATCTCAGTAAGTGGTAATAGATGCCTCCATAAAAGAGAACCAAAGAGATAATGGATTTTCAAGCCAGGAGACTTACTTCACAGTAAGATGCAGAAGCTGATGTCTACAGTGCTAGGGCCACTGGTCCACAGTCAAAACATTTCAAACCCATGAATACCGCCAAAGACTCTTATAATTTTAGTAGACTTTTCAACATTTGGTAAGAATTGCAACATTCATCTATGTCTATTTACCTTAGTGTTTCCTCAGAAGGCAATTACTGGATCTTACATCCATTTGCCGTTGATAGTAAATTTGCAGTGTCTCTAGTAATTTATTTCATGTCCTGAGTGAAAACTAACAGAACCTTCCTTCTAGGGCTTTGTTGTTCCCTTTCATTACACCTCTTAATATCTGGCCCACTGCTCTAAACAAGAAATAGTGCTGCTCAAGTCAGTACTACTGACTTCTGACTAAGAAAGACCAGAACTTTCAAGCAAAAGAAAGCAAGCCTCCCAGATCTTACCATTCAAGATGGTTTTCCACAAATGCTGACATGGGGCTGATCTGCACTGTGTAGGTATCATTTGCAGAGTACTCAAAGAGTCCGTAGTAAGGGTTGAAGAGCTCCTGAGACAAAAGGAAGAAGAACTCTCTCGAGGGACCACTGTAGTCCAGGCTGCAAAGGAAGCAGAGGTCCAGGAAGCTCGTTACATGTGGGGGGTAGGGGCCTGTTTCTATCCAGGTGCTAGGGTGTTCTTTCAGAGTCAGTGCAGGGAAAGCAGAGAACAGCCTGTGTTCCTTATAGTGGATCCCTGTGGGAGCATAATTTGCTGTAGAAAATGAGGATGCAGTTTAGAGATGTTTCTTACTAGATGTCCATGAATAAATTCTTAGGGCAGTGTTTCTTAACCTTTATTCAATCATATGACACCTATTGGATAAAACACACAGCGTGGCCCATTAAAAAGAAGGACCTTGCTGTGAGAGGCATAAAAGAGTTTCCCGTGATAGTACATGTGTGTGAATTGAAAAAACTTCCAAGTTTTTTCTGATATGCCTTCCTAGGTAGGCTTGTCCTCCACTGTTGAGATAGTTTTTTTTTTTTTTTTACAAAATCACTGATATGTTATGAACAATTTGCTATGTAGTTATATATGTGCACTCTAGGAGGAGGAGCTTTTTGATCCGAGACTCAAAAGTGTACATCACCTGAGAAAGGAAAGATCCGATAGCTTAAGTCTGTATTTTTGGCTTAGTGTATTTTTGGCATGGTGTAAGTGTGTAACCTCAGACTCTAGCACATGCCAATAATCTTGGGCTTTTGAAGAACATGAATTCTAAAGCCTGGCAATACCTGGAGAGAGAAAGACCTCCTGGAAGGACATGATCAGAATCACCTTGGGGCAAAGGCTAAGAGCCACCCTCTTTTTCTTGAGAAAAATCACCAAGATCTGCTGACTCTGGCCTGCCTACATTGAATGAGGTGTCTGCATAAAACTGCTGGTGCCTCACCCCTCCTCTCCAACAAAGGTGACGTAGAGCTTGTTTCGCTGAAGCTCCTTCCGGGAATAGGCCATCACCTGATTGAAGGTTCCCTCCAACAGATGGTCCCGACGAATGATGAGCCTGGGGAGAAGCCATATGGGCAGTGAGTAGTGGTTCTGAGCTCTGATGTTGGAGAGTGTTCTAGATGAGTTGTGAGTGCCTGAGCTTACGGTCTCACTCCCTGGCCTCTCCAACGAGGTGCAGATTCCATGAGCTCAGCAATGGATTTATTTTAATGCTCTTTTCAAAACACTGGGAGCACAAGGACAACATGTACATTTTTATAATTGGACGCACTCCATCATATTCGACTACTTTTAGGATTCTTTTGATCAATTCCAAAGACTCTCTTACGTTGGATTCCTGAGTTTAGATTTAAATTTTAAGGATGAAAATAATAAACCCAGAGGGGGAGAAATATAACTATTCACTTAGATCTCAGTTACAAAGTTATAGAATCCATGAATTTGACTAATGAGTTAAATTTGTCCCAAGAAAAAGTAAGAGGAAATATACAATTTTTTTTTTATTTAGTTCAAGATTCTTGGTTTTCTGAAAAGGTCTACCATTAATTTTATATATGCCTTTGTCTGAAATCTGTTTTTTTATCTCTCTCTTTCTCTTCTCTTTCCTTCCTTCCTGCTTCTCTTCCAATTTAACTTCCTTTCTTCTTTCTTCCCAACTTCTTTTTTTTAAACCTTCCTCCCTTCTATGAACATAACTGTTACCACACCATGGAATCCAATCTCCAAAAAGTATCACAAAGGTATAGGGGAGAAAAGGATAGGAACATCTAGCATCTGAATTCAGTGACCAAGCACTGGAGCACTCACTTAATTTTCCCTGGACCCTGACCAAATCCTTTGGCTTCCAGTTTTCGGTAGAAATTGCGGAGCTTGGCCTCAAAGTCTCTCCGGTAGGGTGAAGGGGCTCTTGCACTGGCTCTCTGTAAGCCTGCAGAGAGAAGCACATGGTCTGAAGGTCATCACCGATATGTGGAGCAATGTTAGAAGAAGGGTCAACCAGAGATACATTCCTATGTCTTCTTATTTTTCTTCTCAAAGAAGTTTCCCTTGATTGCCATTACTTTCAGTCTCTTTTATAATAAATGGAAATAATCTAATAAAGAGAAAAATGAATTCTGATGACAATAAACATTTATGTCTTCCAGTCCACTTCAAGTTGTATTTCTCTTAAAAATACCTTGGTGAGCATATCTACTGGCTTCATTGTACTTAAACAATCTAAATCAACAAATCAAGCTAGTCTAAATTTTTCTTGCATAAGTTTTTATATTATAAGTGATTGTAATGAGGCAACTCAGACTAACACATGTGTATGTCATACTTCTCTAACTATACTGACCCTAAAATAAACATAGGAGTCCAGTAGGGCCCAGAGCATTGAGGAATTTATATTAGACTATCTTGCATCATAGAAGAAACATTTGTAATAATAATAATAATAATGACTTGTTGATTTTTACATAGAAGAGAGTTTTTATGTCACTTAGAATGCTTTGTGAATGCTTTATTATTCTTATACACATTTTAATGAGAAAAGGAGTGGAAAAAATGACATTCTTCTCCAGGTTTTACAGATGGTCAGAATCATGGCTTGCCCCTTCAATAACTACTATATTCCAGGTATTGAATTAGTATTCTAAAGAAGATTGATACCAACAAACTCACAGGAAGGAGAATATAATTACAAGTTGAGATGATTGCTACCCAGGAAGGAAAGGAACTCAGTTCTTTGATATCACAGAACACTCTGGCCAAGTTCGGGAAGGCTTCCCTGGGGAATATCTGAAGAGTAAGTAAGCATGAATTGGACCGAATTAGTTGGGAAAGGCTTCCATTTAACTAAGACAAGAGATGAGCTGGGAGAAGAGCAATCTAGGTAGAGGGTCAGCATGTGTAAAGGTACTGCAGCAGAACGGAAAGTGGTGCTCCAGTTTATCTGGAGCACAGGGTACAAGGATCAGAGTGATGCAAAACAAGGCTTGAGAGGTGGGTAGATGATCAAACAGGATAAGGTCCATTCTGCTAAACAATTTTGTTTAATACTAAGCACAATAGGAAGCCATTGCACAAGGACTGACATGATGACACTTGAGTTATGAAAACATCAGTCTTTCTGCAGTGGAGAGAAAAATGAGAGGACTGGGGTGGGTTTAGAAAGCCTAAATTGGACTAGGGTGGTGTCAGTGGAGGTGAGAAGTGGATAAACCGAGGTGTGTTTAGGAGGCAATGAACTGGACATAGGCAATGAGGGAGAGGTGGGCTTTAGATTTTGTAATTGAAGGGACTGCAGTGATAGTCATTGAGATGGGGTACAATGGAAGAAGAACAAATTTGTGGGGGAGAGCACGAGTTCAGCTTTTGATGGTGCTGCTTTTGAATGTTCAATTGGAAAGAGACACAGTTTGAGAGAGAGAAGAGAAGAAACCTGGGACTGGGTCTCGGGCATGGTAGGAAGTGAAGGATGTGTCTGCATCGGTGGCCAAAGAAGTCGTTGAAATGCATACTGTAGTGTCATAGGAGCTTACTGAAGGGGTGACTTAAGAGGGAGAGCAGTCAGTGATGTCAAATGTGGCTTCATGTTAAATGTGAGAATCACCCACTGGACTGTGTGTCTGGAGGTCATGGTGACCTTAGTGAAGACACCTCCTCTAATGCACCGGCGTAGAGTGGAAGGAGAGGTAGGCTTGGTAGGCTTGGTAGGCTTGTAGGATCGGTAGCAGGCATTTGAGAAAATGTCTACCTAATGGCTTCAGTTTTCTTAGTGAAGGGAGAAGGGACATCACTTGCCAGGAGAGACACAGAGGTTTGAGGGGAGCATAAACATTTGAAATAGCAGTGGAGGGGCACCTGGGTGGCTCAGTCAGTTAAGTGTCTGACTCTTGATTTTGGCTCAGGTCATGATCCCAGGGTTGTGAGATCAAGCCCTGTGTCAGGCTTCATGCTAGGCGTGGAGCCTGCTTAAGATTCTCTCTCTCCATCTCCATCTGCCCCTCCCCCTGCTTGTATGTGCTCTCTCTCTCTCTCTCTCTAAAAAAAAAAAAGAAAGAAAGAAAATAAATAGCAGTAGAGAAGTTTACCTAGGAAACGTGGTAGAGTTTTCTTTTGAGCGTTCAAGGTCCAGGTGAGGTGAGAGATGACTAACTTATATTTGTAATCTGCCCTGTCAGATGAATTTGCCCAAGAATGCCTGAGCATAGATGTGGAGGAAGCAGATAGTATGTGTATCTAGGGGCAGAGTTCTGCAAACAAGATGGAGAGGACTGGGGAGTTTAGGCCATTGGCACAGATGTTACCAAAAAAATGAACCGTGGAATCTATGCTGGATAAGGGAAGAACAGAAAGGAAAGGAGAGACGTGCATGAACTAGAGGTCCTGATGAGGACAAAGGACAGTAATGGGGAGAGTAGTTGAACAAGCATGTTGGATGGGAGTAAGATGCTTGAATCAGTGATTTTAGAGATGACAACAGGGGTGGGAAGATGACTGTGGGAACAAGTGGTTGCAGTGGGGGGAAGGTCATTGCAGACCAGAAATTCCAGAAACCAGGAGGCCAGGGAAATGAATGGGTGTCCTTGTGTATGTTGAAGTCATTCAGGATGATGGAAGCACTTGGGAAGGAGAGTGAGACTATGAGACAGGTACCACAGTCTTTGAGAAAGAGAGAAAGGCAGGTAGATGATAGCAAATGGGGGTGGTGGGGAGAGACAGCTGAGTAGTATAAGCAAGGAAGCATGAAGGTCACGAGCCTCACCTTTGTACCCCCCAGTACCTGAGGTGTAAGGGAACCAACAGCCACCACTTGAAAAGAGCTATCCTCAGTGAAATGCCAGCTTTCAGGCTACAGGCTGAACTAGAATACAAGTCTGTAGGAGAGCAGCATTTTCTGCCCAGTAGAACGCAGTACGTTTTATAATATGACTTTTATTACTGCTGGTACTACACTACGCCCATGATCACTACTGTGTATTTTTCTAGTAATTTATGCTTTACAAAGTCCTTTGGCATAAATATCTGTAATTTGCTATCTCTGTAGTACCCAGGTAAATGTCATGAAGGTCTAGAAAAATGGGAATTATAAAATTTAACATCAAAATATTTGGATTACATAATCTAGGACCCCATGGTCAGAGCTAGGAGAATTAAGAATTAAAATGAATTGGATGATTGTTTGGGTTCATGGGATTAGGAAAGTTGATTCCTTTTATAAAAGTTATGCAAGTAATTATCATTTAGCAAATAACTCTTTATTCTCTCTTATTTTTCTATTTGTAATATGATATCTCCCCCATGTAATGATGTTAAAATCATACTCTACTGTTAAATGTTTGGACCGAAGTGCAGATACTTTATCAGGCTGGGACAATATCTACAACAAAATGACAGATCATTATGCAGGCCAATAGATGCCCCCAAATGGAAGGCTCTGCTCCCCAAAAGTGTGCACTGGAAACATTTGACTGTCCTGACGTTGGCTCGGGCAAAGCTCCTCATCCTCCTTTTCTCAGGTCAGGGCATCTCAGTTATGTTGTATGTCCTTAATAATGCCTTTGGTGCACTGGTTTGGAGGAAGTGATGATGAGGAGAGACTGACTTAGAAACAGATCTTAGCAATTAACAAAACTACCTCTAAGAGATAGTTCTGAGTGACATGACTTGGAGGAGCCAAGCTAAGATACTCATTTTAGAGACCTGCGGCAGTACCAAGTAATGCTGAGTGAGACATCCCTTCTGAGGGACGGAACACACTGCTAAATTCTGTATCTCTTGTGAATTTCTCCAATGGCCTCAAAAGCCAAGCTTGGACTCTGACTTTAGAGGCTGTGAGATACAAACCTACTAGATTTTTATTTTACTATTTTTTTTCTTTCTTTCATTTTTTTAAATTAAGCTCAATTAGCCAATATATAGTACATCATTAGTTTTTTTTTATTATGTTCAGTTAGCCATCGTTAGTTTTTGATGTAGTGTTCAATGATTCATTAGTTAAGTATAACACCCAGTGCTCATCACATCATGCGCCCTTCTTGATACCCATCACCCGGCTATCCCATCCCCCAACCTCCTCCCTTCTGTAACCCTCAGTTTGTTTCCAGAGTCCAGAGTCTCTCATGGTTTGTCTCCCTCTCTGATTTCTTCCCCTTCAGATTTGTACATCATTAGTTTTTGATGTAGTGTTCAATGATTCATTAGTTGTGTGTAACACCCAGGCTCATCAGATCACATGCCCTCCTTATTGCCTATCACCCAGTTACCTACCTACTAGATTTTAAAAACTAAATCCCTTTACTTTTAAAGTTATAAAAAGAAATTTGGGTTTACCACCAAGACTTTGAACAAGGTGGTATTGTAAACCAAACAACTGAGGAAAAACTCTCCAATATCTGGATCCCATTTGAGAGTAGGGATTTTACTTAAACTAATTATTTTGATGAACCCAGGAGCAATATCTTCTTTTTTCACAAAAGAGTTCAGTATACATTTCCTTATTTGAAATGGAAAATACCTATAAAGAATTTCTGTATCATGAGTAAATTAATCCTAATACACAAAGAAAACTGTAGGGGAACAATTGCTCATGTAAGAAAACTCTTCAGCGTCTTCATGGGGGACGTTATGGTGGTCCCTAGTAACCATATCACCGAGCAATTCCTTTACACCTTAGCACAAAGTTACTAAAACTGGTATCTAATAACATTCTGAGTCATAAGGCAGAATGTTTCAGAAAGGGCTCTTCCCTTCTAAATGCCTGCAGAGTACCTTGGAATACAAAAGCAATTTAGAGCAGGGGTCAGCAGACTTTTTCTGTGAAGGGCCAGATAGTAAATATTTTAAGCTTTTGCACCCATCTGGTCTCATCGTTACTACTCATCTCTGCTGTTGTACTGTGAAAGTTGTTATAGAAAATACATAAATAAACAGGTTTGGCTGGGGTCCGATAAAATTCTATTTACAGACACTGAAATTTGAATTTCATATAGTTTTCACATGTCATGAAAAACTGTTTTTGTAAAAAAAAATTCAAATTATTTAAAAATGTAGAATGCATTATAACAAAAACAGGCAGCAATTTGTCAACACCCAATTCTGGCAGCGTGCTTTCAATCAGAAAACTGAGAGGGAAGAAGGGAGAGAGGACATAATATACTACTGCCCTTGTTCCACCTTCATCTGGTGGAAACACAGATGGCCACTTACAGGAGACAGAATGCCAGATACTCAAGTTACCTGGGGAGTTCTGAGGTGAGGAACAGGGTGAACAGCGGGGAGAGAAGCTGTACCCAGGGTGGAAGGCAGCCTGCAGTGGGACGTAGGACATAATCTCTTCTTCAAAGAGACTGCAAAGTAAGAAAAAAAAGAAGAGGAGGACGAATAAGAAGAAGAAGCAGAGGAGAAGGAAGAAGAAGAGAGAAAAAAAAGTTAGTTTTCTGTCCATGAGAGAATATTCATGAATTGGGGTAATAGTGGTTACAGTTCTCACAAAGCAACAAAAGCACTTTGGTTCACTTAGATAGGCACATGCCAGCATGCAAATTCTGTGTTATTTTAAACCCTAATTAATCCTGAAATAATAGAGTCTCCATCAAGTGCTATACACAGTTCTTGATACCCCAGTTGTAAATGTAAAGAAGGCAATGGACAGCAGGTCCAAGGGTGGGGGCCCTACTTTAGTTGTAGTCAGTAGAATCCTCTAAAACAAATGGTGAGTGTTTCAGTCATAGCTGTAGTGGAGGAAGACTGCCCAGAGCAGCCTTTCCAAGAAGTGTTTCAGGCTTAGCCCCTTACCTCAGCAAAATGACTAGATCTGCATCACAGGACAACTTTTCAAGCCCATGATTACCCTCAGTCCGAATGTAATGGATTTTCTCCCTAGAATAATGTGGGAAATAAAGTAAGAATTACCAACAGATAAGCTAGGGAATAAATCGCTTTCTGACTCACTTTTTTCTCTGCCAATATGGCTGACTAGCGATGTTCTAATGTCCAGTGAATTTTGTGGCATTTTAAGTTCCTGTGGCAGGTTCCCATGATGCTCTACAAGGGATCATCCATCCTCAGAATCACACAGGGATGGAAGCTGAAGAACTCGACAAAAGTAGGTCCTCCCATAGCTATGACAGTCAGGAGTGAAGCTGGGTAAGGAGAGCTGCCGGAGGACTGTTTGTGGGCTCATGGTGTCTTGGGAGCCATGGGGGGAAAGAGCCTGAGAAACCTTGTGCCTGATGGAAAATGTATAATGCAACACTGGGTAAGAGAGGATCTGGCATCTAGAATACCAGAGTCTCCCAGGTCAGTCTGAGCACAGGCATCAATTTCTCTGTTTAATTATAATTTGCATTCTGATCTCTCTCATGACCTCCAACTCCAACCTGACAAATTATTCCAATGAATCTAGAGAGAAATATAACATTTATTTTGATCAAATGAACTTTGTACTTTGATTCTCTGACATTCAGATATTATAAATGCCACAACCAAGAATCATTCCATTGTATGCATGCTTCAAAGAAGTTAAATATTCCTCCCTTTCTTGAAGAGATGCCACAGAAATCTGAGAAGACTTAATATTTTTTAATATTTAACTCTTTCTTTTTTTGTTAAAATTTTTATTTTGAGACTATTTTATATTTTTATTGTTATTTTTAAAGATTTTATTTATTTATTTGACAGAGAGAGATACAGCGAGAGCGGGAACACAGGCAGGGGGAATGGAAGAGGGAGAAGCAGGCTTCCTGCTGAGCAGGGAGCCCAATGTGGGGCTCCATCCCAGGACCCCGGGATCATGACCTGAGCCGAAGTCATGATCTGAAGGCAGTCGCTTAATGACTGAGTCACCCAGGCTCCCCTATTATGAGATGGTTTTAGAATCACATGTAGTTGTAGGAAATTAATACAGAGCCATCCAGTATACCCTATACTCAGTTTCATCCAATGTACGACTTTTAAAAAAATCTATTTATAAAAATACTGCAGATACAAATTTTTCCTCTCTCTGATTATAATAATGTGAACCCAAATCTTCATCATTACTTGCATATTTTCAGGCAACAATAAAATAAACTTGACCTTTTGGGGTGTGTATTTTTTAAAAGGGAAACTTTTTGGCCTCTACAAAGATACACAAAATAAGATTAAACAGAGAAATGCATTGTGACCCAACCTCTCAGTATGGGTAGCGTATCATTGCGGTAAAGGCTATTGCCAAAACCTGGGGGTGCTCATAGTGTCTTCTCTGACTGGGGGTTTGAAAAATGGAGCAGAACCGTCCACACATCATTTTGCAGGAAGGATGTGGAAGCCCAGCCAAGAGTGCAAGCACCATGCCTCCTCCACCACCTGTTTCTCCCTTCATGTCCCTATGTTCTCAATTCCATGTTCCTGAGCTTTGGCCTCTAAATCCTGATACCACCTCACAGACCTCTTATTTGGAAGACTTTTGTGGATCTGCTCCCCTGCTTTACTGACTCAGTCCCACAAAGGACTCTCAAATTTATGTTCTCCCAGTGACAGTGCCCCTGGGGCAGATCATCCTATTGCCCCAAGGGACCTATATGTGGGTAAGCCCCTGGTCTCCTTGTCTGGAGGAAAAACAGGGAGAACATTCTAGGGATTGCCCTTTGTTCCCAGTGTCCCCGAAGAAATGAAGTCCAAAGGGGGTCAACTCTACTAGGGCAGGAAAGTGCCCACAGAAAGGGGCACTGCCCTGCCGTGGTTCTATTATCCCACCACCTACATGAACCACATCCATGTATCAGAAAGCCAAGCACAGTTTTCTGAGACTTTCAGTGGCTCTCCACAGGACGTTGCACTTTCTGTCATGTGTATGAAAATTTCATGCAGACCCAGTGGTCTGGGGGCCTCCAAATGCCCCCGGGACTCAATCCCAAAGGTACTGGAACTGGGAAAGATCTCTAAAGGCTAGAATGCCAGATGCCTCTCCTACATATACCCTTGCCCACCAGGAAAACTCCAGTATAAAACTCTCCCCAGGGCTCAGTTCAGTAGAGCCACCTGCCTTCTTGACATCTTGATATCTCCTTTTGTGGCCTCCAAGACCTCAAAACTTGATATCCAAATGAAATCCTTGATGTTCTTTTATCACTATCACTGAATTCTGATCTTGTCCTTTGTGGCCTTTAACACATTCTATAGCTATATATGGCTTAAAAAAAAAAAGTCAAACTTGTCTATCATCTGCCTTCCTCAGTAGATAGCAAATACCATGCAAAGTAGGGCCAATGTCTGTTTTGCTTTGCTACTGCATACACAGTCCTGCTGCAATTCTGATTCAGAATCCTGGAACAATAAAAGCACCAGTTGAAGGAAGAATGAATGAATGAGAACTGCTACCATGACCCTTAAAGTGAACAAATGTCATTAACCTCTGGATTTTCTGCCTCCACCTTCCCTTTCCACACGTGACTTCCTTATGATTCACTGTTGTCTGCTGAACAGTTTTCTGAGGACTCACCCTCCGCCCTCTGACCCAGAAACTGGCTTTGTGGACCCAATATAGTGAATCCATGGCTCCCTGAGAGTAGCAATGGTGGAACAGGGGTCACAGCCCCACTTGGAGAACACGGAGGAAAGAGTAATTTCTTCCTCTGAACAGTATCGTGGAGAAAGAAGGTGTTCTTTTCAACCTTTGGACCTTTAAAATGGAGCTGACTCACCCTCACATCACACCCAGGGGCAAGCACAGGCCCAGTTATAGCAGTAGGGCCTGGCTTCCTGGTTCCTGTAAGCCCGACTCCCTGAAGAGCAATTTCTTCCTCTTGTTGTTCTCCCTTTTTAATTCCATAGCCTCTTAGTTACTGTGGGCCTTCTGCTTTTGATGAGATATTTGGGTTCTCATCCTGGGCCTACAGGTCCTTAAAGGAATCCATAATCTTAAAGAAGAAGCTATTAGTTTCTATACTAAATAATTGCCAAGATTTTTCCAATTCCAAGATGCCTTAATTCCAAATTCCCCCATATCTGGAAAATTGTAATTGTATAATTCTGCACTGCAACAAAGCCTTGAAAGTTTCTTGAATTTTGTTATAATGTGATACTATGCAATAGCGCTGAAAATAGTTTACTTTCGCTCTTTTACCCATGGGATTACATTTTTCACTTTTAAAATGACTTAAATGAGACTCTAGTGCCTTTGGTGAGTTTAAATTCCTCCAAAAAATTAGCTGTGAACTCATTACTTAGTAATAGAATCATAACATAAAAAATGTTCAAGAGTAGCAATCTCTCAGAAACTTTTCAGATAGTACAACTCCTCTGAAAATCCTTTGGAAATTCCCTTAAATTATGATATACTGTGAGTCAGAGAGTAGCACACCAATAAATGATCCATATGACTGAGTATGGCACTGCTTTCTGTGCCACAGTAATAAAATGGGCAGAGTTGAACAGAAGTGGAAGTGACAATCACTCATGCTAAGTCTCATCTGTTCATGCTAAAGATCTTTCATTCACTCTAAAGGTAATTAGTGTTTCTTATCTTCAAAGTAGAGGACTAGGTTCAGAGGGGGAGAGTGATACAAAGGCAAAGACCAGAAGGTCCTGCTCTAAGGAACTTACATATTGTAGGGAGAGATCAGTACAGACAGCATTCAAGAGATAATGGAAAGATATACTAGAAGGACAAAAAAGGAATGCTATCAAGCAAGGCAAAAGAAGCACTGAAGTATGGCTAGGTCAGTGAATCTTTGCATTTGGTTTGAGCCTTTAAAATGAGTTGAGAGGTCCTTAAGAGAAAAGCCATTCCCGAGAGGGAAGAAGTAGGAGAGGACAAAGACTGGTGGAGGTGGAAGATATTAGAAGGAAAAAATTAGCATGGGATGGAGAGTTAGGTTAGGGCCAGACTTCGGAGACCATGGAAACTGTGCTTAGAAATCCTGACTTTATTTTACACACAATGGGAAGCTTTTTTGAAGGCCAGGAGTGAGATGATTTATTCTGTGCTATAAGAAGGTAATTCTGTCCTAGATCTAGGGGACATCTTCTAGGAGATCCCTACAAAATCCAGGAGGGAAATGCTGAGCACCCAAACACAGGCCATGACAGGGAATAAAAAAAAAAGGCCGGAAGACAAAGTGAGGAGGCAGGTGTTTGGATGTGGAGACAGAGAAAGAGGAAAGCGGGGAGATCCGGCAATGGGGAGGACAGTGATTCTAATTCACACAGAGTAAAAAGCAGGGAAAAGAGGTGTCAGTGAGGGTGTGTGGGTGTGTGGGGGGAGAATAGTGAATGATCTACCCTGACAGGAGTAATAGGAATTTGAATAGCAAAGGGGCTATTTTCAGGTGTTGGTGATTCACTGAGGAAGTCAAATCAGAGTACTACAGTTGTCAGCTAGATTCAAAAGACCACCAAATGGGAGATGAGGAGTCAGAGGTAGTCAGTGACTGCACTCCCACCCACCTTCCCTGATCCTTCACACACCTACCTATAAAAGCATCTCCACAGTGCCGACATGGTAACTCTGTATCTGAGGAGATCAAGGGTATATATGGGCTGAATAACATGCCCAGATCGATGGTCTCTAAGAGCTGGAGCAAGAATTCAAACTGCAAGGGGACACACTTAACCATCATGTATAGCCAGCTTCCAAAATGCTATGTAGTCAACTGAAGCAGAGAGTTACCTGAATATCTTGGAGAGAAAGTGGGATTTAAGTTCACTTTGGGTGGCTATCCTTTCCAAATGAAGTGATTCAGTTTCAGAGACACTCATTCAACAATGACACTAATGGACAGTAAGATTTAAGTAGTTAGAACACATGATACTTTGGTTTATTTTTGAATATGTTCATCTAATAGTTGGTTTACCACTAAATGATGATATTTTAAAGATAAAATTTTTTAAAATGGATTAAAGACCTAAATGTGAGACCTAAAACCATAAAATTCCTAGAAGAGAACATAGGCAGTAATTGCTTTGGCATTGGCTGTAGAAACATCTTTATAGATATGTCTCCTTTGGCAAGGGAAACAAAAGCAAAAATAAACTATTGGGACTACACCAAAATAAAAAGCCTTTGCACAGTGAAGGAAACCATCAACAAAAGACAATCTAGTGAATGGGAGAAGATATTTGCAAATGATATATCCAATAAGGGGTTAATATCCAAAATATTTAAAGAACTTATACAACTCAACACCAAAACCCCCCTAAATAATCCAATTAAAAATGGGCAGGGGACATGAATAGATATTTTTCTAAAGAAGACATACAGATGGCCAACAGACACATGCGAAGATGCTCAACATCACTCATCATCAGGGAAATGCAAATCAAAACCACAATGAGGTATCACCTCACACCTGTCAGAATGGCTAAAATCAAAAACACAAGAAACAACAAATGTTGGCAAGGATGTGGAGAAAAAGGAACCCACAAGCAGTGTTGGTGGGAATTCAAGCTGGTGCAGCTACTGTGGAAAACAGTATGGAGGTTCCTAAAAAAATTAAAAATACAATTACTACATGATCTAATAATTCCACTAGTGGGTATTCACCCAAAGAAAATGAAAACACTAATTCAAAAAGATATATGCACCCTTGTATTTACTGTAGCATATATATAACAACCAAGATATGGAAACAATCTAAGTATCCATCCATAGATGAATGGATAAAGAAGATGTGGTGTATATATATATACATATGCATATATATATATATGCAATGGAATATTACTCACAAATAAAAAAGAATAAAATCTTGCCATTTGCAACAACATGGATGGATCTAAAGGGTATAATGCTATGTGAAATAGGTCAGTCAGAGAAAGACAAATACCATATGATCTCACTTATATGTAGAATTTAAGAAACAAAACAAACAAGCAAGGAAAAAAAAGAGACAAACAAAAAAACAGACCCTTAACAATAGAGAGCAAACTGATGGTTACAAGAGGGGAGGTGGGTGAGGGAATGGGTGAAATAGGTGAAGGGAATTAACAGTACACTGATCATGATGAGCACTGAGTAATGCATAGAATTATTGAATCACTATATTGTACACCTGAAACTAACATTAATTAATGTTAACTATTCCTGAATAAAAAATTTATATGGTGCTTTACATAAGTAATTTTTTGATGAAAGATATTTTACTTTTTCTGTGCTTCCCTCCGAATCAAAGGAAATCATATTAACATCGTATGAATAATATATAACCTGGCAACAGGGCTATCTCTGATTGTGACACTTCAGAGATCCTTCATTTTAAGTATTCAGGACATAATTAAATACACAAACAAAACACATCATAAGCTTCTGCTCTCTCTCCACAGAGGTGCTGTCCCACCTGGAAGACCAGCCGGGGAGACCTAGAGCTCGAGGGTGAGGGACAAGCCCCTACCTGAGTGCGTGGTTTCTCGCCAGGCTTGGCTGACGCTCTTGCAGCATTTCAAAAATGTTTGGTTGGCGAAGAAATGCCACAATCTTGTCATTATATGCTGAAACAGACAAAAGTGCAAGTTGTGGTTGAGTCTTCGGCCCAGAGATAATTTCTATAGTGGTTGGAAAATGGCTGCTTGATACCAGGATTAACACAGGAGTTTGAAGGGCAGGTAGCATACTCATCAAAAAAATGTAAGCTCTTGAGGGTTTTTTTCCTGTGACATAATAGCATTATCATTTTTAAAAGACCAAACCCAAAGTGAACTAGATCTAAGTTAATTATCTTTAATATTCCAGGAACTTAACTGGGTGTTAACTCATCCCTGTGTGAACAGGTGAAGGAGAATAAAATAGCTCTTCCATGAGGGGAGTTGTACTCTCTTCCTTCTGACTTCTCTTGGTCATTTTGCAATAGATTTATGGCAAAAAATTCTTTATGAGTTCAAAGAAATCCTTTTCTGAGCACTTGACCCTTACAACCTTGGCCAAGGTTGATTGCCCAGTAGTGATAATGGAAGTATCCACATCCATTTGGGCTTTCTCACCTCACTTCCTTTGATACGAGTGGCATGTACCTCAGGAGGTAACAGAGGTTAGGAATGAAGACTATGCTGACTTATCCCCATGCACACCTGGGAAAGAAGTTCTAAATTTAAAACTGCATCTAATAGCAACAAGATCCATCACTTCACTTAAACTATGCTCTCCTGGACTCGGCTAACAAATCACTGAATGGAATAAAGAAGAAGGGGATGAGGGTCTGGAAGAGAGCAGAGAAGAAAGAGGGAAGATGGAAGGTCAAATTGAGGAGTGAAAGGAAAGGAAAAAGGGGCACAAGGGGGATGGAAGCAAAGGGTAGGGGTAGATTATACCATAGGGGAGGAAAAAGAAAACACAGAATCCTGAATATTAAAAGATTCATGACAAGAAAAAAAAAGGCTAACTATTGGGTATCCAGGGTCCCCAAAACATGATACATACCTAGCGGCAATGACTCATGTTGATGTTGGCTTCGAATAGCAGCTACTAGGCTGTGTCCTGGCCTGGCCAGTAAAGAGGCTCCTCTGTTTCTAGAGACTTCTGAAGCCTAATTTCAAAATAAAATTGTTAGCATTGGAAATCTTATCAATTTCAGATGGTCTTTTGATACTAATTTTTCAATATGAGGGGTAAAAGATCCTGATATCACCTAAGTTACAAAAGAAATGAAGTTACAATCCTCGAGGGAGTGGAAATAAGCAAGTTTTTTATTTTTTTTAAAGATTTTTTAAAATTTATTTATTTGACAGAGAGATAGCACAAGTAGGCAGAGCGGCAGGCAGAGGGAAAGGGAGAAGCGGGCTCTCTGCTGAACAGGGAGCCCGATGCGGGGCTCGATCCCAGGACCCTGGGATTATGACCTGAGCCGAAGGCAGCCGCTTAACCGACTGAGCCACCCAGGTGCCCCAATAAGCAAGTTTTTTAAAAAAAAAGACTAAGCAGGATGGTTGATGGTTTTTAAGAAAGTGATTGTGCTAAATGTTATAAATGTTAACCAGATTAATATACTGAGTAGACTAAGAAACATTCCTCTTCGTAAATACATTCAAGAGACAAATAAATTCTACATGAATACTATCATAGTATTCATAGTAGTAAAGATAAGTTTATGACTTTCATTTCTAAGAGTAGCACTGAACTTCAGCACTGAATGTGCAATGGACGTGCTCTTTTTAACAGCACGTATCACTCTCAGATGGCCATTCTTTGCTTAGTGCCTACTATTCCATTCACTGTGCTGGCTATTCTTCACATAGTATCTTTTCATTCTCTCAAAATTCTGAAAGATAAGCATTACTAACCCCAGATTACAAAGAGGGAAACTGAGAATTGGGATAACTTAAGTTTTTACAACATTTTTAACTGTAAGAGACAGAACCGGGGTACCAACTAATGCTTGAGTGCAAAGCATTTGTTGACTCCTCTCCTGCCATTAGCCTGCACCCAATACCTTAGTTTTGGATGGGCATTTTGACAAAACTTCATGAAATACAAAACTTGCTTAGCTTAAAACTGATATTTGTGATGATTAATTTAGCTCCATTTTAAGTTTTAATAAACCCCCTAAGTTCAAGAGCATGGCAGCGAGCTCTCTACCATGATTCCATGTACATTTGTTCCCCAAAGGACCCTTGCAGGGTAAGCTATTTAAACAGAGGCCCTATAGAATTTCCACATTGGAGTACATTCACCAAATATATGGGGTTTGCTGTAGAGTATGATTCATTCTATGGTATTTGGTAAAGTATGCCAAAATAGGCTTTAAAGACATTTAAGAATTACATTGAAGATTACTTTGTAATATACTTAAAAAGTGCTCCAACACCCAGACAAATAAGGAAAGAAAATTCTCCCTCTGAGACTGGTATACAATTCACTTCCACAGAATTCAGGAGAGTTATTGAGATCCTATGATACAAAGTCCAGAAAGGTCAGGTCAATCTCAAAGGGGCCATTTCAGACTAGTCCATGTGTCATATTGCAGATGATAAATAGGACAGATTATTTAGGGCTTACTCATTAAAGACATGGTAATTGCTGGTTTTCCTTTGGGTCCTACTTCCACACTCCACACAGACAGGGGTAACACCCTTTCTTTGCAGAGATGTGCTATCAGTTCACTGTCTGTATACGGCAGTCTTTGAATTGCTCTTCTTGAAGTAGTAGAGATGCAGATCCATCCTTTCTCTTCCGGTCTTTCTCCTTGCCCACTGCTTACTTGAAGGACAAGGCAATAGATTCTGTGCCACTGTGGTGAACCTCTCACTTTGATGTCATTGGCCCTCAGCTCTGTACTTCTAGAGCAGCCAGCCACCGAGATTGAGAAGCTGGTACTTCTGCAACAGCATGGTTACAATGCAAAGTGACGAAGGAAAGGTTTGTTGACTATTAAAATAGGCAACACTGAGTCTCTACATTTCTTTCTCCTTGAATTAATAAATATGTAAAGCCTCTCTGGGACTGAAATGATAGGTCTCTTTTCCTTGGAAGGAATTATGTCAGTCTGCTTTAATGTGTGTTTGAAATATTTTTGATGCTGTAAAGACAGGAATCTGAAAGACCACTCAATTGAAGATGATCTAAATGATGTATTACAGAGAAACTGAGGAAGCAGATCTGATAACAGACCTCAGGAGGGCATGACTGTATACCGAACTCCGGTGATGCCTGCTGTCACACCCTGAGCTAAAGTGTCTCATTGTTGGTGGGTTGCCCCAAAATAAAGAGCACTTTCAAACAGGAAGAGGCTCACTTCTATTCCTGGCTGCCACAGGGAATTCATATGTTACAGATATGTTTTAGGGAAAAATGGTGCCTACTTCTGAGGTCACCTGCTCACTGGCAAAACTGAGGCAGATTCAAAAACTTCAGAAACCAGATGAAGCCCAGCTACTCTGAAGGTAGATAACTGACTGATGAATATGCCTCAGGCCAACTATGAGTGAGATGGAGGAAACAACACAGGGGGAAGGTAGGGCACGTGGGGTACCTGAACCATAGAGACACCTGCCGAGGGTAAAGGAGGTACTGGAGAGCCTGCAGATGAGGATGGATGGGAAGGTTAGATAGACACAGCCTTGTCCAACTAGGAGCCAGGGATTTACAGGGATGGAGACAATTTCAAGCAGGGCTGGAGAAGATTCTGAGATTGGTCTAGTTTACTATATGCCAGGATCCTTGTACCCCTAAAGTAGTACTAAATGGTCCATCCCGAGGAACGTTTGATATCAGCTAGGTGACCTGCTTTGGACCTCACTGCAAACATGATGCTGATGTTTGCTTTCCTAACTACTGAAAATGACTAGAAGAATGGATTTTCCATTTAAAACCAAAATTATATGACTCATTAAATTCCCTTCGCATTTGACACTTTTTGTGATACTGAGTTTCTCAGGGGTGTGTGTGTGAGACAGAGAGACAAAGAGGGGACCCCCCAAGGGCCTGCCTCTCCCCAGACATGCTATGACTATTCTATGGCTGGCTAAAACCCAGTTTGCAGTAGGGACTACTTTTAAAATTTCTCTTCTTTTTGATGTTGAGATAGCTTTAATCATAATTGCAGATGTGAAAACTTCAAACATTAAGCTCTCTAGAAAAAAAGATGTGGTCCATATATACAATGGAGTATTATTCAGCCATCAGAAAAGATGAATACCCAACATTTGCATCAACATGGATGGAACTGGAGGAGATTATGCTAAGTGAAATAAGTCAAGCAGAG